CTAATCATGACCTCGTTACATCTAAGCTAATGAGGCTCATATGCCTTAGAGTGCACGAAATCGGGTGCTTGCTTTTGAATGAACAATAAAATAATCAGTAATCAGCACCAGACTGCTTTCGAAGGCGTTTAGTGCATACTTGCAAGAAGTACTTTCGACCCCATATAGCTTTTTAAATAGTTTAATAGAAGATGGGGAGTGTACCATCAAGTGCTCATCACAGAGCGAGGATCTAAATGCAAGCTGTCGCGGCTCCGCTATGCAGAGACGCTCCTCGGAACAGGTGCCGGGGCGCTAATGCCGCGTTTATCTGCCGCGCCTTTTGTAGGCTGCTGCAGGACCACCTCCGGCTGGGAACGATGCCAAGTCGAGGGGTATATAAGGCTGAGCGGAGTCCAGTCTGCCTCTTCAACCTTCGTCTTGTCGATTATCTTCGGTTGTCACTTGGCCTCAATTCTAGCAGCTCCCGCAGAAGAGGATCTTCAGGTTTGGATGTTGAGCTTTTCGTCATTCTTGTGGGTTGTACGCGCGTAAGCGCTGGAAAGTATCTTGTACTAGTAGACGAACGAGGCTGCGGGAATGGAGCTGGGGTTGCGCCGTCCCATTCATGGGCCTGGCTTCTAGTGGCGGTCCTGTGGAGGAACCCAGACCAGAGTGAGCCAAGTTAGCATCGGCAGCACGGGGGTTCGCGACGCGCCCCGTGTTTATATTCCGTTGTTCTTCTTTACCCTTTAGTAGTTTAGGGATTTAGTAGTTTAGTATTTGTCGTAGGTATTTGTTGTATGTTCGTATTTTGTTATTTTATATATAAAGCTGAATGTCTGTTTGTATGTCTGTATGTCTGTATGTCTGTCTGTCTGCCTGTATGTATGTACGTATGTTCCGAATAAAAAATTCCTTTTCCGAACCGATCCGGACCAAACTTGCCACACATACATTTCGGGCCCCGGCGGGTGTCATAGGCTACTTTTCGTCATCGATCGATGTCGATTTTATCAATTTTTATCGATTTTTTTGCTGAGTTCACCTACGGGGCTGGGAGTTGGCACAGGAGGGTAATCGAGCATGCCAATTACGAATACAATATTAGTTTTTAAAATCGTCCATTACTTTTACCGATTTTATCGATTTTTTGCAAAAGTTTGGGCTACGGGGCTGGGAGTTGGCACAGGGGGGTAATCGAGCATGCTGATTACGATTGCAGTATTAGTTTTTGAAATCGTCCATTGCTTTTATCGACTTTTTTGCAAAGTTTGGGCTGCGGGACTGGGAGTTGGCACAGGGGGGGGGGGGGTAATCGAGCATGCTGATTACGAGTTCGATATTAGATTGGCGCTATTCGGCTATCCAGGCCCCAAAATTTTTTTGTCGTAGAGCTTGCTCAAACTTCGTGTATAAGGGTTAGTTATCTTACATGCCGAATACACATATCACACTTTCTCCGCAGAACGTCTTCCCGTGTGGTTACGATAGGTGTACGGTAGGAAGTCAAAATCATGAATTCGGCTGGAGTTCGGTCAATATGGCTTATTCGACATGCTGATTACGAATATCATCTCTCTCTCTGCATATTGGACCTTTTCATAGAGTTGTGTGGTTATATGGCATGGGGTCGAAAACATAGATTTGCTTCAAACTTCGTCTAGGGTGGTCATTTAGCGCGCTGAACATGAATATCATGCTAATTTCGCAGGATAGTGGATTTTCTTGGGGTACGGTGGGTGTAGATGGGTCGAATTTCCAGATTTGCTCAAAACTTTACCTGCAACGGTTCACAAGTATATCGCTTAGGAATACGATGCTTGATCGCTGTCACAACGCATTTTTGTGAAATGGTGAGTTGCAGGGTTTCAATGGACATTTTTTCGCTTTCGGGCCAATTTAGATCCCAGATATTCACGAAATGGGTAAACGGTCGTTTTGCATGGCGGTCTCCAGCGCCATCCTGATGACCTGTCCCAACGCGTAACGCACGCGGCAAATCTCCCTTCCCTTGTTTTTGCTTAGGCAAAAGCCGCCGAAGGGTGTATCGCGCGCGGCAGTGGTCCTATAAGGGAACTGATAACCTGTCCCAACGTGTAACGCACGCGGCAAATCTCCCTTCCCTTGTTTTTGCTTAGGCAAAAGCCGCCGAAGGGTGTATCGCGCGCGGCAGTGGTCCTATAAGGGAAAGCACTACGGTCTCGGGAAATTTTCATACCACAAATTGTCTTTATCGTGGGGATTGAGCACGATATTCTTGAAACAACACATTAGGTAATTTTCTGCCAAGGTTTCAGGCAGGCTCATGATTTTTACCCGCTGCCATGTACCTACCGTAACTCTGCGAAAAGGTCTCAAAACGCAACGAGAGTGTTTTGCATATGATCAGAAGGTCGAATCTTTCTAGACCGAGTTTCAGCCAAACTGAGATTTTGCCCTCTGCAGTACATCTACCATAACTCAGTGAAATCGCCTCAAAATGCCGAAAGAGTATGATATTCGTAATCAGCATGTCAATTAGCCCCCCTCAAAGTTTCAGCGAAATCCATGATTTCAGCTTTTTATGTGTACCTAACGTAAACCCATAAAATGGCGCTCTCGCGCGAAATGACTACGATATTCGTCATCAGCGGCTCTAATAATCCCCGGAGAGCCGAATAGCGCCATCAGTTTTCTAAATTATCCTTACTTTGCTTTTTTTTGCAAAGTTTGAGCTACGGGGCTGGGGGTTGTTGAGGGAGGTAGGTGGGCATGCTAATTACTAACACAGCGGGAATAGGGATTTGCGTGTAGAAGTGGGCACAATGGATTCTACAGGGATGCGGATAAGGCCTTAATCATAGCATTGACAGGGCCGGGCGGAGCCGGGTAAGCCAGCTAGTTTGCTCATAAACTTAACACGTTTTGGACCGGTGCTGCACATGGTGCAGCACGCTGATCTGAAGAATCTTCCTGACATTTACAGGAGGTTTTCTTTTAGTCCAAGATTACCAAGTCAAAGGCCTCTTCTTTTTTCAAATGACTTTGTAGAGTTGTGCCGCCGATATTTGTTTAGGAGATATGAGCACAAATCGAACAATAGTTGCAAAGAAGTGCGGCAACGCGAACGACGCGTGCGACGTCGCAACTTTTCTTTGCTTCGATTCCAGAGAGAAAAACCGTAGTTTCAATAATGATGTGTACCGTCTACAACATAGATACTTTGATACTCTTAGAAACTGAGTTCTTGTTCCTATATTTCAGAAAAGCACAGGAATCCTTTACAAGCGACAAAATTTGAACACATCGAATCCACTCAGAACCTTGGGTATAGGACTTATCTGACAAGCTGATCACAGATGTAGCACACAGTCTACAAAATAAGGTGTCTTTATTGGCCAATGGCTGAAAGTGCACTCTTTTTCGCCGCACGCGATTTCGCGGTCCGAAACGTGTTAATTAATCAAGGCGCGCGTTGCGTCGTGAGTAGTTGGATAGGGTGACCGCGTCGAGTGGACGCGGTGGAGTGCACGTCGGTGTCGGACGCGTAACGTCCTAGGGTGTAGGACTGTGGAGTAGGGCAGTCGAGCACACGGCTAGGGGTGCTGGGCCCACCGAGCCGCAACACAAGCGAAAATTTGATAAAGCGTAAGATCCAGTCGGGTAGTGTTTGAGTAATGGCTTATAATAATTGAATGCCTTGTTGTACGCATGCTGAAATCATTGAAAAATGCACTACAGTGTTGAAGCAAGCACAACACAAAATACTTGTAAACACGATGATATCACTTCTGACATGGCTTGAGATTGTAAATAGTGCAGAACCTACTATTCTAATTTAGCATAATGCATCAAGTTATTAGGTAAATGTTGCATAGCGACTTTTGCCACTGCAAACGGGAATTGTTGGCAAACTTATAGGCCATTTTTCTTTTGAAATTACGGCATGTGCACTATTGTCTAAGCGTGTGTGTTTCTCAACTTTTAGAAAATTGTTGCCGTCCACGAATTCACTATCTATTCTATTTTTGTTTCTACAATAACTAGTATTCATATTGGCTATACTCAAGATGACTCCACATAATCACGTAATGTAAGCATAATCAAAGAATCAAGCAGATTTACTTGCGTGGATTGCCTGTTTTCAGCTGTGCTAACAAAGAACAGGAAAGTATTGTCAGAGTACGAAAGAAGATTCGTCGTGACCATGGCTTCTAAACACTATCAGATTCCTCCTTTATCACAAAAGAGCAATCTTTGGAAGTTCTTCTATAAGGCATTTTTTCTCTTTTTATCGAAAGCAAAGATTTGACCATCACTGCAACAGCAGGAATCTTGAGATTTCATCTAACATTTCATTTCATCTAAGTGTAACAGTTCGGCTCAACCTGGCACCTGTCATTTGATTGTCACTTCTTGCCGATTTGTAGAGTCCGCCTTGTTGTGAATGGTGAAAAAAATCTTCTCGAAGCAAGCCCAAATTTATTCACTGCTTTTTTGTTATTGCGAAGATTGCTAATCCCAATCAACGATCACATCAATCAATGCACATATTGTGTTGATCAGAAAATTCTGTCGCTTTGTTTCTGAAAGACTCAAGTGTTCCCTATGTGAATGTGAATGTACTTACTCACAAAAATATCCCCAGGTGGAAAAACCAACTAATTTGCTTTTCTAACAGCATATTCGCGGATCATTGACGACAAGGGTCTCCAGAGATGAAAATTTGATTAGGAGACCCACTCGAACACTCAATTTTGGAAAATAAGTCTTAAAAAATAAAAAAGAATAAAAAATGCAAAAAAAAATCACTTTTGCCGTCTTTTGCATTTTCGACAAACATCATAATTTTCTATACAAAAGCTCGATTAGCACAAGCTTGGCACTGTTAGAAAGAGCAGTTTACGTGGATTGTATGAAACATGTTCTCCAAGTTCTTTGACGATTTATTTTTCAAAATCCAAAAAGTGGGTCTTTTTCACTGATTTTTATCCCTGAAGTTCCATGTTGTCAAAGATCCCAAAGATGTTCTTTTCAAAGAGGATCAATTTTTCTATCTGGAAATATTTTTGTAAATGAAAAGTTTACATAGGAAGCAGTTACAAATTTTTCTAAATCAAAACGACAGAACTTTTGAATCAACCTAATAGGTACTACCTAGTGTAAAGCCATTTTTTTGCATACGTACGTCCTCATTTTTTGGTTGCAAGGATAATCTGCCCATTTATGAAACCATAATCCATCCGGGTCGAAGGGTGCAACATCACTGAGCACCTAAAATAAAATTCACGTCGGCTTCACCTAAGTTTATCATAAATAAAGCTGAAGGAGAAAGTTGAATAAAAGCAACAGAAGCTAGAAAAGTGAGTGCTATGCTTAATACGTTTCTAAACTACTATCCTTTAAAACAATAGCAATGGCAACAGGTGAATATTGGCATAAAAACTAATTCTAAGTCGGCTGTTTCTAAATCTTGGCTTAGCAAATACTAGGCTGTCCCATAAGTTTTTTCATTTTTGAGTTTTTGCTGTGATAAGTCATAACTTTTAATTCCGAATAGACATCAGGATACCATTCGATAGAGCAAAGCAAGCTCTATAAGATGGCGTTTATGCGTTTGCACTAACCTCGATCCACCTCAAGTTTGAAACCAAAATCTAAAAAGTCTCGGATGCCCGGAAAATTGAATTTTTTTTATATTTTCGTTCAAAAAAGTCCTACAGATCTCTCACTCAATCGCGCATATACACTCCACACCAGACACTCATATGTGCTGTTGCTGTACTATTTTATTAGCTGGAGATCGAGAAAACGAAAACATGCTTTTATCAGGTTGCGTAGCAAGTAGTACCCAAGAAGCGACTGCTGCCGCAACCAGCCGCCAAAGCTGGCGTCAGCGCCGCCGCATATGGTTAAAATAATTACGCTAGCCGTCCGAAATCTCCTGCCGAGAGGTTTCCTCGCACCTCGTCGCGCTGAGGTGCATTATCAGCCTCAGGGGCTATTATCAATACAAATCATTTTAAACAGCAAAAATTCTATAATTCACTGGTACAAAACAAATGAACAAGTTTGCACAATGGAGTTTTCCTATAGGACGGTTATGGAATTCAATTCCTTAGAATAACCAGAGGTCGAAATAATTCAGGCTGTAAAAAAGTGTTTAGTTATCAAATTATTTTTCTGCGAATCAAAATCGAGAACGTACGAGACATAACGAAAAAAGCCTGTTGAAGCATTTCAAGACTCAGTGATGTTAAGCGAGCTGAATAAGCCAAGGTAGATCAAATAAGTGAGCCAAAGCAGATCAACAATTGGATAGGTCACTGATAAAAGGTGGAAATATGTCACATTTGCTGATATAAAAAAGAACAGCGTAGATCATCATGAACCTAGGTTGTAAGGAAAGTTCCCGGACAGTTCTGAAAATTTTATTTTCGGAAACATTTTTTCCGCATTCCGTCGGATTTTTGCACTATATTTTCTGCAACGTTTCTTTTTTGGTATAGATCACGTACGATTCGGCATCGATGAAAGTTAGAAACGTTGTTAGAAAGCTTAAGCTGTCTACTACACGCTGCAAAAATATAGTGTAAAAATCCAACGGAATGCGGAAAAAGTAATTCCGAAAATAAAATTTTCAAAACTGCGCGAGAACTTTCCTTACAACCTAGGTTCATAATGATCTATGCTGTTCTTTTTTATATCAGCAAATGTGACGTATTTCCAGCTTTTAGCACCTATTCAATTATTGACCTACTTTGGCTCATTTATTTGATCTGCTTGGCTTATTCAGCTCGCTTGACAGTTGTATACTATAAGACCCGAATGGGAAAAGCTAAATTCGATATTACTCGTGAACTATAGCTTACAAAAAGCTAAAAATTTAAAATCATATTATACAGCAACAGCACATACGAGTGTCTGATGTGAAGTGTATATGCGTGAGCGAGTGATAGATCTGTAGCACTTTTTTGAACGAAGATAGAAAATTTTTCAATTTTCTAGGCATCCGAAACTTTTTAGATTTTGGTTCGAAACTTGAGGTAAATCGAAGCTGGTGCAAAAGCAAAAACGTTTTCTTATAGAGCTTGCTTTGCTTTATCGACTGATATTCTGATGTCTATTTAAAATAAGAAGTGTATGACTTATCACGAAAACTCAAAATGGAAAGATTATGGGACAACCCAATATACAGGGTGCGCCAGAATTATTTGCGCGTGTACTCTGCAACGCAAAACTCGTGCAAAACAAGATCAGCGGTAGGCAAAAAGCTATTTTGTCTTAGTAACGTTTTATCATTGAGAGGCTATAGCATGAATTGGAATTTCTAAGTGTGGCTTGAGAAAAATCACAAAATATCTTACTGATTAAGTTGCGCGCAACACGCAGGTATTTCTTCAGAGAATCTTCTGCTTCTTCATAGAAAAATGCACCTGTGATGCAAGGAACACACCACATGATAGAGCAAGTTTTCGGCTGCAACATACTGTAAGCGCAAAATCTAGGATGGTCTGACAAGAAGACTATCGGCGTTTGAACAAAGTCATGTGTTTGCTACATGTTCAAAAACTGCACATTTTAGGAGTGCGAATGAGCGAAAGAAAAGCAGAAATTGACTCCAACTCATGTTGGAGTTCAATTTCATCGGTGGAAAAGAACTTAATATTTATCTAGAAGCTTTGTGAAAGCACTATAGCATTGAATTCAGTGACAGGCGCGTTTCTGTAGCTTACAAATGTGATTTGTAAACAAAACGGCCACTGACACGCGGATGGCATTTGCGTACTTTTTGTTGCCATTTTTGGAAGAATAACTGTTGGCGAACGCAAGTACTACGATTCGATAGCGCAAAGCCTCTCTACATTGTGGACATAAAATCCCTTGAAAATGTCTCAAGAATCTTCAGTTACGCAATGAATTATGACTACCGAAAAATCAGGTCTTTGCGGCTTCCAAAAGTATTAGTACGACAATTTCATTATTTGCACAAAGGTAAGGCAATCACCTTGAGCTCATAAAACGCTTTCTTGTAGAGGATGATTGCAGCATTCTACCACATAAATTTTGGAGTCAAAACTACGAGTAGTTTTTTGCAGCACTCATGCAAAGTTGACGCAAATACTTTTGGCGCACCCTGTATATGTGTGTCATATTGCAGCAAGATAAAATACAAATTACATTTGATCAAAAAAAATAAAACTTGAAGCGCTAGCCAATGAAGAACTGATATGGACCTTGTTGTCGCTGCGATATAGCACAAGTAACATGAAATATTTGATTTTCTTGATCGGTGTATTCTTTCTTATTCTTTCTTTTTCATTCATTCTTCAAAAAAATGTGGCTAGATGCTAAAAGCTGACAATCCAAAAAAGCTTTGAAGAACAAAAGTTTAGTATTTATATACTGCTGTATAAGAGCCACAATGAGGCTAGTCAAAACAAGCATGAAAATCATTCATTTATAAGGTAAAGCAAACTTTACAAGATCACCATAAGAGATCTGCCTAAAATCCGATTACAAAGTGTAGAGCTGAAATTTTGGAAGATTTCATAAAAGAAATTAATTCTTCTTCCCAAAAATTTTACTGACATGCGTGTTCCATATTGGACCAACCAGAAAAGACACGCATATATATCATCGGTTTCCAGATTCTTGTGGAGGAGGAGTCTTGCCAACTCACCGCGTGGCGGTTTTTGCTAGCGAGAGAGTACGAAAAGCAATGCTTTGACGTGGAGGTTTAACAAGTTTACCTGTGTTATCAGGCAAAGTGTGTAATACACCTCCACACGAATCTGGAAACCGATCATACAGTTGCTCTGTTTGTCGCTGCTGATTGAATAGAAAAAAGCCGAAAATAGTTATCTTCTCCATTTTCAATTTCTTTTGGTTTACAATACAGGGTGTCCCAAAAAATGTTAACACTGTTTGATAGTTAATAACTCCCTTGCTTTCAAGTCTTTCGCCGAGCTTTAGGTTTTGTAGAGCGAGGATAAATTTAGATTTACAGTATCGAGCGAATCATCTAACGCTCCTCGTTACTGTAGTACGGTAGGATATCCCAGCATGTGGAACCGTAGCGAAATATGCCCTCTGACAAAATTTTTCTCAAATAATCTGAAAAATCGTGTACTAGGGTTTTCGCGCACGCTGATTCCACTACACAACTTTTCACGAGTGTTTTCAGCTTTTTTGACGGTGTAATCACATTTCTGACACATGCTGGGAAGTCAGTTATTACACTTTACCTAGGATAACTTTGAAAAGAAGTACCATAATAAAGTGAAAATTTCATATCCGAAATTAGCGGCTTTCATTACCATAGTACAAGAGATTTTGGCTTGTTTGGCTCTGTTTCGAAGCAGAAAATGGGCTTTGATGGCCTAAAATCCTTGTCAAATTTCCTACCGTATTTCTACAGTAACGAGGAGAGTTAGATGATTCGCTCGATACTGTTAATCTAAGTTTATCCTCGCTCTACAAAATGGTACCTGAAGCTCGGCGAAAGACTTGAAAGCAAGGGAGTTATTAACGATCAAACAGTGTTAACATTTTTTTGGGACACCCTGTATTTTTTCATGGCAAGATAGAGAAAATTTCCATGATTTTACTGTTGTAGATTTGTGGTAACAGCTATTGTGTGTAAAGTGTAGGATTCAGCTTGCCACTCTGCACGGAACTCGAATAATTCGAATATGAATTTGAATAAAACATCCGAACAAAATATCAAGTTTTCGATTTATTTCGAGCCCCGGTTTTTGGTCATTCGAGTTTCCGAATTTCTCGAGAACGGAGAAGAGTTTCAAATCACAATAATGACTGTTTACTGGATATCAAGAGCACGGCCTAGTAAGTCTGCTTTGTAGGGGAAAGATTTTCTTACTCGATCAGCAAAGGGAAGAGAAATTAACCCTACACATCGGATCGCCCCTAGGCGCCGGATGATAACAAGAAAGATGTCGAGGTCCTCAGGGCGTTATTTGGACCGGACAAAAACGAAACGTCTGACCCACGACACGTCATGCCTTACGCTCTGCATCTACAACGCCAGGACAGTTTCCACAGACGCCGACCTCGACGCTCTTCCCTACGCTGCAGAACACATCAAGTACCACGTCATCGCTTTGCAGGAAACGAAGACCAGGAAGAAGGACATGCAACAGATGAGTGATGAGACCCTCTTCATTTGTGGTGAGAAACTTCCATCACAAAACGTTGGAGGTGTTGACTTTGTCGTCCACCCATCTATCGTCCATCTTGTCGATTGTGAGATC